ATTTCATAAAAATTTATTAGTATCGGAATTAACCGGACATATTTTACAATTATTTTTAGAACGTGCTCATCTTTTAGGTTAATTGATGATCTACTTCCGATTTATTCCGTTAATATTACTATAAGATAATGAAAAAGTGAACGAAATCACATGATTGGAGATTTAAAGCTGCTTGAACCATATCATAAAGCTATCGATATGGATATCAGATTTGGCAACTTAGACCAATTGCTTGGATATTTAAATAACTTCCAAATTGAAATAAATGCTGATTTTCCCTCTGTTGAAAAAGCATCAAGTGTTATTTTAAAAAGTCTTAATACTTTACTAGCTGTAGCATGATACACATCATGCGGTGATTATAAATGACTTTTCTATTATAGTTGGTTAAATATCGGTGAATGCAAGCACAACCCATAACTTGAAGCTAATTTTTTATATTCTGTTATAGTTGATGCTAAAGAAATCTTTTCAAATTGTTTATCCGTAAAGTGCTAATAACAAGAATTTACAAACAAATCAATGTTATCAGATGTTCACAAATTTTTGGCTATATTACAAGTATGACAACCTCTTGTAGCATTATGTCATTTAACTTCTACCAGATCATTGCCTTGTGGCAAATCAGAAGTTACATCTTCAAGGCTTGCAAATACAAGGCTTTTATTGCTTTGCACATCTATTACTTTTCCCTTTTCTAAAAGTTTCATTTCTAAAACAAAAGGACCAATAAATTCGTTGAAAGAACCACTGAATGGCACAAAACCAAGTACGAAATAGTTCTTAAACTATTTTCTTTGATCAAAATACATGTTTCCAATTTGAATATAAATACCACCCAATGAGTGATAAGTATTGCGAAATGTACTGAAGTCATCATAATAAAGATCTATGTATATTTTATAAATCAGAAGACTTGCAGTAGATTCTTTTAACATAGCAAACTCTGAAGGATGTTTGTAAATATAAGCAACTTTTTTTAATTTCTATTTACTATTATACTTATATAATATTTCACAGATTGTGATTGAAGAAACATTATTTATATTATTATAATATAGAATTGTAACCATAATACGCCTTATGACTGTTTGCAATTCTATAGTTATAATTGCATTATTCACCTCTCAATCCAATATCTATACTTCACCTCTTAATGATCTTTCTTTATGATCATTACTCTGCAAATTTCTTGGTAGCTCTTCAAATATTAAAATACATTGAATGTTGATATAAAGACTGCCATTTTTTTGAACTATTGATAAAATATGGCCAATCCTTTTTGTAGATCCTTGATAAACTACAAAATCCCTGATGTAATATTTTACTAGTGTCTTTTGATGTAGATGGTATTTTTTTTATTAGAAATATAAATTGGATATAATTTAATTGTAAGTAAAGGCAGTCTTTGCCTATATTTTCTGAAGATAAATTATGTCTACTAAGTCATCATAAGCAAGAGTAGCTAAAAAATAAAAAAAAAATTAGCAAATAAATATAGTATTTATTATAAATCATTTTAACTTACATATATTATGCTTCTAGATCCAGAAAAACATTAATACTTCTGTAATATTACTGAAGTATAGCACAAATTCTCTATTAATAGATGGCATTTCTTCACTACTTAAAAGCTCATCAACAATTTCTCTGTTAAAATCCTCTTTATTCAATAAATTATCTTCGCTCGACAAATTGCCTTTGCTCAATAAATTATCTTCACTTGACAAATTGCCTTTGCTTAACAAATCGTCTTCGCTTAAAAAATCTCCTTTACTTAGCAAATTAGCTTCACTCAACACATTGTCTTCATCTAATATATCACCAGAATCATTATTCGAAATTTCATAATCAAAATTCTCGTTATTTGACTCCTGTTCAATATTATCATTGTTAGAGACATTAGTTCTGGTACTTTTTTTGTTTATTATTTTAAGTGAAGGTGTATTAAATATACGAGATGGACATCTTATATAATTCTGGCGAGGGTTAAAATGGATATAACGATTACAAAATATTGTAAAAGAAATAAGAGAAATAAGAAAAATTTTAAATATTAATATAAAAAATGTGATCACAGAAAATATGTAAATTGAGTTTATAATTTACTTACAAGTATACTAATCAGAATATTGTCATATTGATTAATAATATATATATCCTATGTTGATATTTAAATTAATTGAATATAATTATTAAATACTTCAAAAAAAAAATAGATAGAACTCTTCACCCCATCTTATTATTACCAATCTCCTGTAAGTGTAGTATATATAAAATTGCAAGATTGGTATGAACACATATGTTATACTTTAAATGCTTAATTTATAATTTGAATATCCAAGCATACGATTTTGTCAATTTACATCTTCTTATCAAAGCTTTACAAAGACTTAATATGCCCTTACAACTTACAAATATTATACA